TGGAGGGAACCAAAGTAATGATAACTTATGCGTTTGCCTACAAAAACACTGCAGCACTACATAGTGCAGACGCACACGCTCTCGCCAATGACAAATGATGAATAGCCCAATAAATTCAAGTTTCAAGTTTATTTGTACAGCGATTTTCACGATACAAATCATTGCAAAGCAACTTTACAGCAAATTAAGTTTCTACAATATTTAGTGGTAGCTTATCAGTGGTGACTGTCAGTTAATGTACATATGGCAGAAATGTACGGAAAAATAAATTAAAGACTAATAAATAAATCATTAACTGGTAACCCAGGTTGAAAAACATAGTGTTAGTGTCCTTGAGCGGGACACTCTTTTCAATTTAGCCTCAGTGGATTTGCAGCAGCATAAAATGCCTTGCTGTCAGTATTGAGGATCAAAGAGGGAGCGTCCCATATTAATCCAATGACTGGCTCTGAGCTCACCGCAGAAGCCCGCCTCTTTCTGCTGTGATGGGAGCTGTCGCTCTCCTGGGAAGCGCCACACATCTGCTGCTGTCTCCTTTCGTGGCCAGAATCAGACGCTGAAAAGGAGAGCATGTCAACAGGGCTCAGCAGCACACGAATCAATGCAGCAAATGCATTTCACCTCAAACTCAGCTGGATTCAGCATCACTGAAGCCATTCAAGCGATCAATGAGCTTTTATCATGGGAGCTGTTCAGATTGATGGAGTGACTGCTTATCTGTACCTGCCATCCCGGACGTCTTCAGGGGTGAGGGGCACGTGCTATTGGTCACCTAAAATGTCAATGAGATGATTATTGACATGCAGCCCAAACGATGGCCGGAATGCACCCAAAAATCGTCACAGTGGGTGTAGAAAGCGCTTGTTTTTACCATAGGTGATCCTTTCTGCTGTGTTTGTAGAGCTTGTGAGGTAGATCTTGTTGTTCTGCTGTGCTTCAGCCTAGTGTGCTTCAAAGTTGTTCACAATAAACCTCCCATCAAACATTATTGATTAATCAGTTAGAGTGTCAGTATAGAGCACTAAAAAAAAAAACAACAACTGTACAATGCAGTTTTGCATGCACCGTCTCCTGTTAAATATCCTGTTAAATTTACAAAATATCAAAAAATCCAAAATATAAATTAACAAAATATTAAATAACCTGTTAAATTTACTGTGGTTGCCGGAAATTCACTGTAAAAAATACAGTGACAGTGTTTCGTGTATTGCAGGACGGCATATTGGTGCCTGTATATTTTACACCTAAAGTGATATAATGTTTATATAACAAAATCTGCATTTTACCTTAAAATGTACTGATAACCACTTTAATAATGCATGTCGTTCAATAGAAAGTCACACGATGAATCATTGTAAGTACATCATAAATAGCCTGTTGCTAAAATATGGCCAATACTTGTATATACTGTAGACCACAAAACAACATCCGAGTAACACACGACACTAAAATAATGGAAAAACATTAGCTAAATAACAGAAAATGTAACACAAAACACCCTAATGTACAGTACTGATAACAAAAATGAGATGAAATTTTTTTTACCTAAATATTTTTATATGTGATATGTAACACAGGGATTTCTGGGAATGTCCTTTTACTGTTTTTGCAATAAATTATATGGTAATTCATAGTTTTTCCTTTCAAAAACCACACAATTTTACAGTAAAATTACATTGTTAAACCATAAACAGTTAACAAATAAACATTGTTAAACCATAAACAGTTAACAAATAAATAGGTTTTACTATAGAATTTCACAGTCTTTTTCTGTAAAAATTACAAACGTTTTTTTACAGTGTGGGAGCGCTTTATATTATGCCTCGGCCTCAAGCACAAATACTGAAGTTGATTCCTGACCTGACTGGCATCATGGAACTGCCTGTTATCTCAATATCAGAGTCAGAGTCAGAAAGGGCAATGAGATGATCCTGATGGACGTTTGGTTTCAGGAGTCTCTGGAATGATTGTGTCTGACTGGAAGAAAGCAATAAAGCACTGGAGGCCGTCAGGCAAAAACAACGCAAGTCCTGGAGAGGCTTATTACACTGTTTGCATTGGCAACACTTTACTGATGTTTCTCATTCTAGTTAGTAGTCAAGTTTTTTTTATTTAAAATGTTATTTTACTGTAAATAAAGACAAAGGGGACAAACGTTTTTTTTTAAATCTCGAATTGACATTGTTAGAATATAAATACAAATCAATATGATCAACAGCGATGAAGTTTTTGTAATATTTGCATACTTAATTTTCATCTGTTTGTCATAGGTTTGTTATGATGGGTAACACTCTAATTAATGCTATTTTATTTGTTAGCCATTGTGGGATAGCCACTTAAAACATTAAATAAAACATTATTAAATCAATTTGAAGAACAGGGTCTTGTCTCAAGTTCATACTGTCACACTTATCACAGCCTACCGGAGGAATCCACATGATTAGAGGATGCTGCTCCTTTCTTTTTCCTCATTGTTCACTCTTATGCGTTAACAACAGCTCAATCCAGCTTCACGCGTCATGTCATGCATTTCAATCGATACAATCATCGACATCTGACTCGTGCTTCCCCGAATCTACTACCTATCGACTGTAATGAGCTGATTTTTGGACAAGAATAGCATTTCTCTCTAACAAAGAATTCGCTCACCGGCGAGCTAATAAATGATTGCTTTGTCAATAAACAGCCTCGCATCGGCTTCGGCCATCGGTAATGATCAGATGACCCTGTTTAGCTCAGACCATTTCTCTGCACGTTATGAGTCTTTGTGATATTTCACCGGTTGTATTGTACCTAATGTATTTAATGAATGAAGACAGTGCGTGTAATCACGCTAACCAGTTGTAACATCTGTAACTACGGTGGCCGTGAAGGTACGCACGTGTAGTCACAGGACCGAGCGAGAGCATAAACTTGAATACGATACATTACGATTTTATTATTTTATCTTAATTATTATTATTATGTAATTTATTCCTGTGATCAAAGCTGAATTTTCAGCATCATTATTACGCCAGTAATTTATTAATATTAATTACATTTATATTAATAAAATGTTAATGTATATTTCACAATATACAATGTAATAATACAAAAATTTATTATTTCACTATACAGTGTGTAGTGTATATACAGTATAGCGTATACAGTAAAATAGATAAGATTGAATAGTTAACCAAAAGTTTAATTTTTCTTTTTTTTACATTTACATAAAAACATAAGACTCAATTGAACACAAAAAAACTGAACAAAATATATAAGAAAGTAGGCCTACTTTCCCACTAAAAAAATGCAGCAGTATAAAACTATCACATGTCTTTGAATGCAGCCTGCCCTGTTTAAGTAAAGTAAATCTGTCTAGTTTCCGAATCGCAACGCATAAATCAAGTCCTTGTTCTTTCATTCAAACTCTGGCTCCGAGATGTAATGAGATGGCCGACTGTGAGCTCTTGGTTATTTGATTGACAGCATTCCTGTGCACCGGAGCGCTTGATCTTGTTTCATAAGGATGCAAGCTGGCAAGAGGCGAGACAACAATAACAAAGGGTTTCAGATGCTGCTGACGCTGCGACTGCAGTAATACTGCAGCGACTGTTTCACACGTGCTGGTCTTCATATTATGCCTTTGCATAAAGATTAGGGTAGAAACGAACTGATTCTCAGTGCATCATCAGACGAATAATCTAATAACATTGCATTTATCATGCAGCAATGTAAATGGTAGGCTATTCGTTGAAAAGGAACGCGCTGTTTAATAAATGAGAATGGCCAGTTTGTGTCTGGAAAGTGTAGAAATGAACTTGTTTGTTTTCCCTAATTTTGTGGCATGCTGCTATTGTTTAAAGTCAGCCAGTCTTGCGAGTAAACCTAGTCAGGTGACCAGTGGCGCTTTTGATTCATCTAACTGAATCAGATCTTTTGAATCGGTTCACTAAAACAATCCATTCAAATGCGTTCGGAACTTTCTGCAGGTAACACCATTACAAGTGAAAGTCTTTTGTGTATAATGAGTGAGTTATTAAATTATTAACTTTTTATGTCATCCTTTATTAAAAATTGGCATGCCTACAGATCTTTAAGAGGCTCCAAAAAGAGTGTTTAAGCATTTTCTCCACAAATAACAACGCGCGAGAGAGATTTAATTTATTCCTCCATTTGTTCACGACTTTCTTCAAGCTATCGAGAAAACAAACAATATATCCAAAATGAATGAATTGAGTTTTAAAAACGTAATTTTGCGTAAATTGAATTGTGTGTGGACATTTTTATTCTTCTCTCTTTCTCTTCTTGCGAACAAGACTGACTCATTGACGGTTTCATTCAGATTATTTA